ATAATAATTTTCGAAAATTCGATGATAATTACTTCTTGGATTAATGCGATATTGATATGTAATCAGCAATATTAATCAATTGAATTAGTTTCATTTGACATGCAATATGCTTAGAGCTCACATAATAAATGACAACGACAGTATTGACTTCCATATGCTAGTCATTTCAAGGAAAATGTCATCATTTTCCATTCTATAAGCGGAGCAATTCTCTCTCCCGCAGTGCATGAGACACGAACGACAACCGAATAGTAAGCTTATTTATTATAATTTTGTCGCTATTATCCAACAATATGAAATGATTTGAATTTTAAATGAAAGACATTTGATATCTTGCAGATGTGCACTTCATACGATGAACTGAAGTGTGTTTCAACTTTCAACTGGAATTCCACAATATTGAAATCACAATGATGTCAATCACTTGAATTATAAAATAATGAGCTTTCTTTACGTAGCCAATAATTTGGCATGAAGCTTGTTAACGTTACTCTGATCCTTAGCATTTCTATGCTCAATTTTACTTTGGAAATCAGATTATAATTGTTAGTGGCACTAACCTTAATTTAAAATATCAATGTGATATTCAATCACAAGTACTGGTGATTCAACTTTAATAATACTAATATTAAAAAGTGGAACAAATGAAAAACGTAATGCTACTCTCTCACCAAGTAACTGTTGGGGTTGTCCGGGGTAGTGCATAGCCAAGCTCAATTATGCAGTAGAAAATGCATACAAAAGCTCAAAGTTTTGAATGTTAATCCATTCCATGGAAATGAAAATTTGAAATCGTCAGATTCAAAAATTAAAATATTTTCATCAAATATTTTTTTTTTGTTTTTCTGTGTCAGGAATTCGGAATGGTGTGGACTGAATCAAGCTTCATAATATATCATACTTTAAAAACTGTCTGTTTTCGTTTGTAAATACACTGTTTATTTTTCTCTGTTACCTTTTTTTGGCGGTCATACAGGATGAATCATACTACAACAACGTTTTTTGTTTGTTTTCAATTTGTATGAGTAGTGTTTCCCTTTTCACTCATTTTAATCCGACATCAAAAAACTTTGCTTGTGACATGTTGACGCTAATTAGTGAAACAATGTTGTTGCCATGGACACAAAAAAAGAATAATAATAATGTGTAGCTAAAGTTGACAATTGTGTAACCGATTGAAAAAAAAAAAGGAATAACAGTAAAACATTGGTATGGCCCCACGAGAAACATTCGATATATCATAAATTTAATAGAATGCCGGTGTTGCGGTGGCGAACATGATCGGTGTCGCTGCAATTAAGTCAATTTATGTTTATTTTATTATACTCTTCCAAACACTGATGTGAACGTGTATGCATGAAATGGTGTTTTAAATGCGTTCAGCAATTAAACCGTGCAACGGCACTTGAAGCACGAACATTTCGTGAATTTAAAACATTGAAACGAGAGAAAGAGAGAGAGAGAGAGAGAGAGAGAGAGAGAGAGAGAGAGAGAGAAAAAAACACTGCATAATGTACACGAACGAAAATAATTACGATTTTGTAAATTGCACATGTTCGATATTTCAGACGGTCATGCAAACTCACATACATATTCAATTTAATAATATTGAACGAAACTTGAAAGTTGGTGTGAGTGAGCTATATTTATATCGTGCTACGATTTATGACGATCCGATCGAACAACATTCAACATATTCAATTGAAATATTACTGCGATTGAAGCATAATTTTATTTATTATCATTGAGTGGGCACACGGCACACATTGACAAAATTACTTTAAAATATACAAAACTTGTTAGATTTTAATGCCAAATACAATATGCACTTATATGATTGCGATTATTGAAATTGAATTTATTAATAAAGAGAAAATGAATGTTCGAATTCAAAGAAATCACACATTTTCCTGGCCACTGAATAACACACAAATGTACTAAAATGTTGTGAAATTTTTCAACATTCATGTGATAAAAGCTCATCTCGTTTCACTAATAAACAAATTATGAAAAAAGTTTTTTTACCTATATTGGAATAGTTGAAGAAAAAGTTATGCCCGTTCACCTGTCGATGTACGAGAAACACCACAGATACAACAAATAACACAAATATTCCTGTTATCTACCGAAAATGCACACAATCACCGATATTACATAAAATTTTAATCATATATGCCATCACTTAACACACCATGTATGAAAATTCCATCCACGTGACGCTGAGAAACCTTGTTGCGTGCCAAACAAATGCAATATGTGTGCATATATAGAAAATTCTTAAGTTTTTGGCATGAGAGTTCGTTGCGATGATATTTGCATCAAAAGGGCATTCAAAGTGATTTATTAGCAAAGTTTTCCGTATGGAAATTGAATGAAAGCAAATAACTTTAATATTAATATATTGAAAACTAACAAAATTTATATGTGTATAGCTTCTAATGTTGAACCAAAAGTCATTTTCTCATTTGAAATTCAAGGTATTTGCCATCCATAATCCAAACCGACTCGGTCGTTTCAAACAAAGTGATTTCCTACATTCCAAGAATTTTCTTTTCAGCTTGCATCTCTCAATTAATTCCTTGCGCCAGGAGTTAATATACACAGATTTTAATGAAAAATATTTGTTGTGCATCACTGTGGAAAAGTTATGTAATTTCTCACACAACTCGAATAAATGCAGAATGGGTTACATTTTAAATGATTTCAATATTTGTGGAAATAAAATTGAAATCGGCAATTTAACGATAAAACTTTACTCATTTATAAAATGTATCAATATCAATTGAAACTTCACTTGAAATTGCATACACTATATATTTTTTTCGCTTTTACACTACTTTTTATGCGGAATGTGCAAATTTCATTGTAATAAAAGGCAATTTAATTTGAAAATGATATTATATTCATAGTCACACTGAGCTAATTTGTTGGAATTTTACCATACAATCATATGATTGCTGTAATCATAAATAAATGCATATTTATTCGTTGGAATGGTGGAAACAATCAAGATTTTCACATATAAAATTTCATTCGATTTTCACCACGAATAAAATGACAACGTACACACATACACACAATAGGAAAATCGAGGACGAACAATATCAATTTATATAAATGGATATACACTAAACCAATTTTTAATCAAAACAAAATGGGCGCCCACTTCAATTTCAACTGTCATTAACAATGCATTATTTTATTTGTGGCGGTTATGCAATGACCTTTTCATTTACAACTCGTACCTTGCACATTTTCAACCATTAGTAGTTAATCGAAACATATGGAATGCAATTGTCATGCATTTTTGCATAATAATAAAAATCAGATTCTTTTTTAACTTTTGTGCATACCGCATAAAAACGATATTGGCGCAAAAACGACAAAAAAACAATAATAAATGGTCAGATTTCCATTCGTCAGGATAATGAAAATATTACCATTTAGAGTTCACATGCGCTTGACGCCAAACACATTTCGTGTCAAAATATGTATACGATCAATTGATGGTCACAAATGAAGTGCAACAAATTCGTGATATATTATATGATTTTTGAAATTATTTAGATTAATTGTTCCAAAAAAAAAAGAAAAACCATTCTATTGTAGTTTTGTGTTAATTTGAACACATTAAAAAATAAAATGTCTTACATACGTAAGATGAACTTTTCCGCACTGTGATCCACAAAATTCATTTATAACTTATCTTTTACTTGAATTTGAACTCACGAAAACCTGAATCTGACATTAGTTTTGCGATACACATAATTTTTGACACACTTTTTATATAAAAATTACTTAAAATGGGAATTTTGGAATGGAATCAATCCTTGCATGACGACGTGAAACTTGACACAGGGTATTTTTTCACAAAAAGCCAACATTCTGGAAGTTTGAAAATATTCCAATACAATTTAGGGGTACTTCCCATACAAATAATTTTTGAACGACTTTACAATGCCTGTATGATTTCGTAATCATGTGAAAATTTGCAGATGTTTTTTTTCACAAAAAGCTAACATTCTGAAAGTTTGAAGAAATTTCAATACAATTGAGTATATACAAAATTTTCGATTTTGAGCAAAAAATCCAAAATTTTGTTCGGGAAGTACCCCTAATTTGCATTGAAACGAAGGGCAATCGCACTTTAAACACTGCAGTTGTGCTGCTCTCTGACATTTACAAGTTCAACCCTATGTAAAGACATTGCTTTCCTCTTCTTCTTCATTTACAAGAAGCATGTGCGTTATAGCAGCTTAACTTTGAGATACCAGGTGGCATCTGTTCGAAACCCAATACATTGCTTTAAATGGAGTGCGAGCAGAGCGTGCATTGAAATCTCTTCAAACCCTCGGAATATTATTTTTGTGTGATAAAAATAACCTGCGCAAAGTTTCAGGTCATTACGATATCATACAGGCATGGCTTCCATACAAAAATCCAATTTTTTTGGAATATTTGTATGAAAGGTGTGTCGAAATATATTTGTATCGCAAAACTAATGTCATATTCGATTTTCTCGTACCCAAAAACCCCCCAATACATATTTTTGGATGTTTAAGAATACATTAAATATCACTTTTGGGGGGAAAATTGAATTTTTCCCATGGATGGCCATGGGCATCACACCAGACATGGCACGTTACTCTATCAACCAAAGTCGCTCAAAATCTAATGGTATCTATTCCTCGGCACCCCCAATCATCCTGTGAAGTCAGATTTTGAATTACTTTTCTGGTTTGAAAGTTATCGTGTTAACAAATTTTTGCGTACAGGGTACAGCGTACAGCGTACAGCGTACAGGGTACCACGCACATACATTCGGACATCGAAAAAACGCTAGATTCGTGTTCCCTGGGTCCTAAAACACCCAGAAAACATGTTTTTTGAGGGTGTTAATTTTTCGACCGATTCCAATACTTTACCTTACACACTAGGTGTGTGCGGAAAAGTAAAAGCAATTTTACTTATTTAGGTTATGTTTTTTTGTTTATTTGCAGGTTCGCACACTCTTCGTCAGTGGTTTGCCGATGGATGCTAAACCGAGAGAACTTTATTTGCTATTCAGAGCTTATGAGGTAATTTGATCATTTAATTGAATTTCAATTAGTTTAATTTATAGAACGTTCTTTTCATTCTTATTGCGTGAAAGAGCATTCTAATTTAACTATTTTTTGAATGTTGCTCATGCAAAAATTTAATTTAGCATATCCAATTTATTATCAAAATTTAATTATACTCGAGGGAATGGATTTGTTGTGTCAATTAATTTAAAATAAAAAAAACATAAAAGGATGTATGATATTCATTAATTGAGCAAATAAAATGAAAACAACATCATAAATCACATAGCCATATTTCGGCATTCATCGCAAGATTTATTGGCCGAAATTAACAAAATAATAATTCAATCAGGCCACCAACGTATGTAGTTCACACTTCAATTGAATAAAATGATAGATTGTCTCAAAAATTGACCATGTTCATTGATTGAATTGAATGGGTTGTTTTGCTTTTTAGAAGTGGTTAAGGAACTTGGCAACCTAAATGTGTCTTAATGGAGTCACTAATTAAATGAAAGCTATAATGAAATGTGAACGGATGGAAATTTATGCGAATGAAAAAAAATATATATAACTAATTGGATTTTATTTTACTTTTCCATTTCCAGGGCTACGAAGGATCGTTATTGAAAGTAACAAGTAAAAATGGAAAAACTGCATCGGTAAGTGTGCTGTGAATTTTCCTCCCACAAATAATAGCTACATTCATGGAACAAAAATAGAAGAAGAAGTTGAAAAAAGGTTTACGGTTTATTGTAATGGTGTCGCATTCATTATTCATTGAATTTGTCTGCGTGCACGATTTTCAATATGCATTCAGTTCATTATATTTGCCGTGCTTTCGGTTTCTATTTTGATATAAATTTCATTTTTATTCACATCCGGTATTTATATATCCTCATAAAACATCGCGATGCGAAACGGAGCATCATGAATTTTCCGTTATGGAATAAGAGATCTATATACAAACTATATTGTGTTTCGCACGAATTTTTTTCGCATATTTTTTTCTGAAACGTAAATTCTATCAACATTGGCGGGATCATGGAAATGCAGTCAAGTTGCGAAACTATCTGCTGTAAAGAGAAACAGCGAAAGATAGTAAAAGGGGACAGTTTTCAACTGGAAAATTATTAATGCACGTGAGCTGAATGGTATTTTCTGTTGAATATTATTCAACATTGTTGCAGTTCGCAACTTGTGTTCAACGAGTTCTACTTGCGCTTTGTAAATAGTCAGGATAATGGCATTCTTTTCATGCTCATCGATCATTACAATGAACAACTTACAAAACGATATAACATTTCATAGTTCACATTAAGTGAAAGCAAATTTGATGCTCTTTTCCGTTTCATTAACTATTTCGCTTTGTTTTTCTTTTCATGTATTGCATCATTGATTCATAGCCGGTTGGATTTGTTACGTTCCATACACGTGCTGGTGCTGAAGCAGCCAAACAAGATTTACAGGTAAATATATGTTAAACAATACCATTGATAGAAATACAAACAATCTAATATAAAGATAGTGGTATGAAATACATATTTTTTTTTGCTCGCTTCCGTCAACTTAACTTTTGTGTTTTGTTTTCTTTTTATCGAGCGTTTGCTCTGAAAAACAATATCAAATTATTTATTGAAAAAAAAAAAAAAAAAAACGTTTGCTTCAAAACATGCAAAAAGCTTGCGTTACCAAATAAAACACAGAATTTAAATTGCAACAATCAATTGAGGCATTTATTTTGATATTTATCGTTTAGTGACCAAAGGATTTAAAATCGAACATTGAATTTGGTATTATTGAAAATGCACAAATGAATGCACACGAATTAAAATTTAATTTCCAGTGGCCATTTAAATGAAAATACCAAAATAAATGAATTAAACGAAGCGTAAGTAGTAATGCTATGCCCAAAACAATCATCAACCAATCAACAACAACATGACAAAGACCAAAATCACCTGTTTGAATATGCACTGTAAATATATTATATATTTGTATGTAATACAAAACAAAAACCAACAACAACAGCAACAACATTTTTATTGAATATTGTGTTTATTTACCAACTCGAACATTAGACAATATAAAAGTCCATTTAGAAATGGATTGCAATGTGAACAACATTTATGTATGCGAATATATATCACTTCCACCCAACCAATCCCCCAAAAAGAAAACGAACGCACTTCGATTTCGAATTTAGGTAGTACTATTTGATATGCGGTTTATGCCGCAGTGAATTCCACTTTCTCTCTCTTTTTCTTTCACACACTCACACAAAATATGGAGAGGCGATAAAATGTGATTATTTGTAATTTGTTTGGAAAATTAATACGCATTAAAATTTGGTGCAGTGGGTACCATTCCTAATGAATAAAATAGAATTATGTGTATGGCTTTGCATTTGCTCTCTATCTATTTCTCACACTGTTGCACTCGAACAACAATTTCTCACACAGTAACTCTGTTTCGTTTTTTTTTTCTTTCATAAGTGCATTTTGATTATTGGACACACGAAAATCGTGTGCAAAATCACGCACAAAACATTTCATAAAATACGTGACCAAAATTGCATCAAATTTTCAAAAATCATATCAATACAAAACACACAACACCCACTATAAATATATTTGATCGAATCGACAAACATTTGGCAAAATACAATTTTCACATTTCATTGTGCGGCGATTCGAGTACCACAATGCATTTTCAATAACAACAACAACAAATCACATTTTATGTTGCAATTTGTTATTCCTCCATCAAATCGAATGAATTTACTAGAAAATCGTCTCGATTTACTTGTTTTCCAAACAAAAACTCTCGTTTCTTCTCTCAAATCGAATCGAATTCATGTATTCACAGACATGTATTTGAGCAACAACAAAAAAACGAATTTACAAATGTTGGCATACCTAAATTTCACCTCGTCTCGTCAAGTCTCGCAGTTTCTCAGCATAGACTGCATTTTTAAATTCAACAGTTTGGGAAGGGAAAACGGGAAAAAATGATGCACCATATTGGAGTTAAACACCTTGCACCTGAAAATTGCCTTTTAAAAACGGCATCTGAATGAAACAAAAACAAACAAAAATTGCATTTAGAAAAAAAAACCAAGCATATACACAACCACCATATATTCCAATTCTTTGATTTCGAATGACATACACATTCACTCAATATAATACACCCACAATAAAACGATATATATGAATTATATCTTAAATTTACAAAAGCTTTTATTATATATTTTTTCTGTTGACGTCGTGGCGCATTTATTGTATTTCAAATCGAACCGAACGCAACAAAACCCACCAATTCTTCCAACTGACTGAATGTAAAAAAAACAATTCTGTTATGTGTATTATGGCTGTTCGTTTGCTGTATACAGTTTAAATAATGCAAAGAGACCGTCGTTTTTTCAAATTCATTTTTTCCAGACCTCCGGTGGCTTTCAATCACTTTTTTTTTCACATTTTCATTTCCTTTTCATACAATTTCGATGTGACGATTGGCTAAAGTCTTCAAAAATCCAAATTGAAACTTTTTCTAAGAATTTTTTCTAAGTATCTCGTCCTCTTACAGTGCATACTCAACCTTTGTTTTACAATTTGATTTTGTTCAATTCGTGTGACAAAATGGTGGTAATTTTTCGTTTGTTTTGTATAGAAAAAAATATGTATAAGGCACACCTAAAGATTTTAACTTTTTATTTAAATGAATGTTGCAAAAAAGAGAATAAAACCAAAAAAAAAATCACACCAAATATTACAGCAGGGTGTTCGATTTGATCCTGATATGCCACAAACAATACGTTTGGAATTCGCTAAGAGTAATACAAAAGTGAGCAAACCAAAACCACAGCCTAATACAGCGACCACAGCTGCACATCCTGCATTGATGCACCCACTTACTGGACGTAAGTAGACACCAAAGAAACCAACAAAACATTTTACTAACATCTTTATTATTAGTTCATTTTGTTTATTATTTGTGTTTTACTGCATTACCGGTTTGTTTTATTTTTCTTTAATTTTTATTAGCTCTAACCATATCTGAAGAGAATCGATTCTAATTTTGACACTTTCGACGCTTTTTAGTGTTTTGGTTTTTTGAAAATGGCACAAAAGCACAGTGAAACGGCTTGAAATAGACTTTGAAGTACGAAAAATGGATTGGACATTTCATCCATCGGTCTATTTCGAGTTTGTTCATTACGCTCCACTGCAATTTTAGACATCACAATAGATACCGTTGCAATTCGTGGACATAAAAACCGCATAAATGAATAAATAATACCAAAATAGCCACAAAGTAAAAGCAGCTATAAATTAACCCCATTATTGTGAATGATATAACATGGCAAAAATAATAATCACCGAAAATTCCATTGCCTGGCGACTATAAATTCACATACATACACACAAACACAAATAAATATCTGTAACACCCGAAAATGTTTATACTTCGCGCACACATACAAACACACCGATAACACAACCAAAACACATGCTAAACCACAAAAATTTGCCCATGAATACACACAAAACAAACACACTTTTATCCAACTCTTATCTTTATATTGCCTGCTCTCTATATCTCTCTTGCCCAGTCACATCTTTACATATACACAAACACACACACACATATATATAAATATTATAATGAAAATACGTCCATACACTCATCAAATCTGAATCGAGTGATAGCGATAACAATAATAATCACCGCTATGAAAAATACAAAAAAGCCCCATTGATCTCTTTGTGCATATTTATCATTCTCATATCGGCCAGTTTTTATTCTTTTGTATTATCAGCTTGGTAGTAAAACTGACTACAAGAAATCATCACATGTAGCACACAGAAATGCTTGAATATAAAGATATTTCACACAATCCACACGGTCATTGCGATAACGATGGTATTGAATAGCCATCCCCTCCAAACAGCATCTCGACCAACACATATGTAATAAACAAACTAAAACTCAAACAACGAACTTTGACCAAACAATTGTTGAAAATGTTACACAGAACGTTTTAATTACAAACAAATACACCCCAAATTGATATCAAAAAGGTTTTTTCTTTCAGTAGATTCAGCTTCCGAAGTCAACAGCACACAATGCAATCAAATTTGTTGTTTTCTTCATGTAACCGCTCTTGCCTTCTCATCGCAATGAAAAAGCAAACAAACATTTATCGCACTCGTTGGTCAATCAATAAAAAAAAATCACACAAAAGAACACAGACAAAAGAAACACCCATAGAAAATCAAAGTTTTCTCGTTCAACGGAGCCCAGTGTGTTGAAAGTAGTTTGGTTGACTTTTGAGCAGTTTTTATTTGTTGTCTCCGTTCACAGCGACAAAAATAAAGAAGAAAGCTTGTTGAGATCAAACTGGAAATCCTTCAATAGAATGTTAAATAAAAAAAGGAATTCGACCAGCATGACACGATTTTCATTTTACACCTCCGCATTTATTTTTATTTAATATTGATTTGATGTATACACCACTTTTTCATAATATTTATTTATCATGCTGGTTTGCACGTATATGTCTCGCCCTCGGGAGTTTCGGGAATATATTGAGCAGAATGTCAAAGGAAATTAATATTCTTCTTTGATTCGCATGTTTTATATTGGACCATATCTTTTTACTTTTTGGAGGGGTCGTCATATTTTAAACAACACGATGAAAATTCTCATCATAAATTCAAAATCAATATCAAACTGAGACGTAAATCATACGTCGAACAAGTTTTTTTTTTTGGAATAAGTTTTTATCGGAAATGAAATATCCCACCGGCGATAACTAGGGTGCAAAAAAGTGCATGCGTTCTTTGATGGGCGAGCCAACTCATAGTGGGAGCACGTTTTTTATATCAAAGGGACTTTTTTTCCATTTATGTTTCTATGTCGTTTGGCCGGGAGTTATCGACACTTTTTTGTCCATCGTTTGTGTCGCTTAACAGCTGTTATCGTGTCGTGTGCTTGTATTACAAATTAGCGTCAGCTCTCTGCTTCGATATGCCATTCAATTGGCAGGTTGAAAACTGAAAGGAGCTAGTTTGTGGACATTTTTATCGATTTTTGATCGCAAAAGTTTAAGAGGGTGAATTGATCGCAAATTTTATGTGTAAACAAAATGAAAAAAACTCAAGAGAACTTCTCCGTTCTCTTAGGGTTTTTTTTTTCATTTTGCTTTCTTCAGTTTTTATTATGCAAAATGATTTTTTTTTAGATGTTCAGTATCGTTGGCTATTTTTATCCTATTTTCTTCTTGCGTTGCGTATTTGTGATGAAAACAAAAATGCAACGACTTTCAGAAACACAAAGATTATGTTCTATCCCATCTATTTTCGAAAGTATCGTCATTGTATTTTGAATATTTTATTTAACGAAACATTCACAATTTCCGTTGACAATAAATGGATTTATTTTATCCTATAAGATTAATTATTGTCTAGCATTAAAACAAAGACAAATAATTTTGGCATTTCTTTCGCTTTTCACACCGATTTCACATTGAATATAAAAGTTTTCATCGCGTTCATTATGTTTTTCTCTTTCTGTTTCTCGCTGTGTTTGTTTAATCTCTTCATCGTGTCTCAAATGCTTAATCTAAATTAATTGAATTTTCGAACACGTGAACGAAACTTTTTCGACGACAAAAATTTGGAAGTGCCATGTCTATTGTAGACCGTGCGCTTTATGTCAGTTTAACAATTAATCATTTAACACAAAAAAAACAAACAAAATAATTTCGGTTCTTTTTTTCTTATTTTCATTTAATTTGATTTTCTCTTGTTATTATTTAATGAATAAATGCATGTAGCTCATGGAATTGTTAGATATTAATCCCGTTTGTATTTTTTTTTTCTCTTCTCTTAACTGTCTTTGTTTTATGTTCTGTTCGGACGGGCAACTTCATTTTTCGATGCGATTTGGTTATTTTTTTTCGTTGTATCGTCAATTATGCGTTTGGTGTAGACTTAGGTGCACCATTCTTTCCTGGCGGACATGAACTATGGCATCATCCATTAGCATATTCGGCAGCTGCAGCCGCCGAACTACCGAGCGCTGCTTTGCAGCATGCAATAGTGCATCCGGCACTTCATCCACAAGTGCCGGTACGATCCTACCTTTGACTAAATCCAGAGAAAATGATTGATCAACCTATGCAAGTAAGTACCCTGATTTTTTACATTTTTTTAATGGAATTTTTATCGAAAATTCTATTAATTTGAATTTGTGAGGACTGTTCCATTCGAATATTTACTCTACCAGATTAACTCAATTGCAGAGCGAAACATTTTTTTATATACAAATGACCAAATCATTCTACATTTATAAATTTAAATAAATATATTTTTATATATATTTAAAATCGACGTCAAAGTCGATGAATTATAAAAAAATATATGAAGCATAATTAATGAAAAAGCTTTCAATTGTCGTATTATCGCATTTTCATTAAATTTCAGAAAGCATTACAATCTGTTTATTGCAGCAAGCAACGGAAAAACAACAAGTAAATGAGTTTATTTTTTGTGTGTGTGCATTTGGATTGGCTGCTCATTGGCTCGAAACACGTTCGTGTATTTTTTTTCTGGATGTTCACAATAAGTTGATTCATTTGACTATTCAACTGGGATAGTCAGAGATGCGAAAACATTAAATAAAATCTGAAATGAGAAAAACCGCCGAAGTACCACAAAAATTATTGTTATTGTCATTGGCGTTGCGGTTCGTATTGATATGCAGGATAAAAACCGTGGGCTTATAATTGAAACAGAAAAAAGACCGTTTCAACGTTGAATCGACTCGCTCTTTTTTTTTCGAAAAACTGTTGCAAACAGATATTGCTGTCGATTATACAAAATGTTGGTTTTGGCTTTTGCATAATTACATTTAACAACAGATTCAAGCGCTTATTCAACTGAGGCGAAAGGTTCCAATGCCCGAGGAAGATTTTTAGTTAAAAAAAAATCAGTTGTATCGAATAATTTTTTCAAACTAAAAATGGAACAAATTATTAAGTAAAACTAACTAAGTAGAAGTTGGTATTTATTAAATCTAATATCCAACATTTCCATTCGTTCGTATTGAATTATTCAATAAGACTGTGCTGTCAATTCGATGGTACTATATTTATATTTATTGACGCTGTAGATAACCTTTTTTTTTATTCGGCTCTGAAAAAAGAACACATACTCACAAATTACTATATTTGGAAATTCAATGTGTTTTTTTTCTTCTTCGGTTGGTTGTTGCATGAAAATCAGATATTCGTTATATATTTCATGAGAATGAAGCGAGAAACAACCGTCAAGCCGAACAAAAAACGCCAATTCAAAATGAAAAATAAATCAAATGAATAAATAATTTCGTTGATTCATTTCGTGCAACATTTTAATTTTCCGTAAAAAAACCACATTCAAGACGAAAATGGAAAACAATGCTTTCCGTTTATCGTATATTTTTGTGACTCGATCGCGAGACTATGTTCATTTTTTTTTGGTATACCCTATCGGTTATCAGTTTTTATTTGTGAATATTTAACAAAAGTTCTATTTCAATGAAATGATTTCATAATACGAGCTTTCTTACGTGAATTTTTAAAAAATAGTTTCCATAAACCAAACATTTCTATAACATAGTTTCGCATTTATAATTTACCTGAGAAATGAAGACCGATGATAAAAAGAGAAAGTTATCAAAATGGTTTGGAAAATTCATCTATGACATTTGAAGTGCCGTGTTCATTTAAAATTTATATCCGATGTGAGAAAGAATGAGGGACCAACCAACGTAGAAAAAATATTTCATTTAAAAATTACAGCCAGCACCATTATAATACATTGTGTCATGGAATGCGCGCTAAGCAGAGGCGTTTTGTAGACGATATTACCGACTACAGAATTCGGAATAAGCCAGAAATTACACTGAAAGCTATAAACTAGTTATTTCGGTGGATTTAGTTTTCTCTCGTTTCTCTCTCTCTTTCTCTTTCCCACTTTCTTTCTTCTATAAATTCACTACAACTTAAAACAAGAAAAATTGTACAAGCCAGGACCATATAGCACCGAATACACACACATATATATGGCCAACATTAATAAACTGTGAACACGAAAAGCTTGTTGCGTTTTTTATGATGGTGTACTATTTTCTGCCTTTCTTTATTTTTCTTTCCCTTCACCTTTTCAATGCTGTTGGAAAAATTCGGTCTTTTAAATAATAAATAAGCAATAAAATAACGGGAATTATTGTACACGCAAACTTTTCACATTTTTCCTCTTCACCATCAATTTTCTATATGTATGTGTTCATTGTTCGCCTCTTTAAATTGCTGCCATTTTCTACAGTGGCTAATGCGTGCCATGTACCTGCGAGCGTTGTGCATACGGTAAAAAGAGCGAAATAACATTTTCATTGAACAATATACAATTTTTTTTAACCATAGTACAACATGCAGTAAATTGTTATTTTTAACGATGTATCATGTGTCCTTCTGAGCCCGAAACCGGCGCCAGATCGAAACAAAAAAAAATATATGGCCAATATCTTTCAAATAAAAACGAACACCGTTGTAGAGAAATGATGTAAGCACGGCTGTGCACGGTAATAGCACATTCATTTTCGCTGCAGCTTTTCTTAACTGTAATGCTCAACAATTTTTTTTTCGTCCACGTTAATGGAATCGATGACCAAATGTTTATTTTTACTACAAACCCACAAAATGCAAATCAACTCACTTTGTAGTCAAAGGCACCAATGAAAAATTCAAGAAGAAATAAAAACATTAAAATCAGGCAGAAAGCTCAATTTCATGCCAATGTTACACATAAAAACATCTCGATGCAAACAAATTGAAAGTTTTAATTTTTCGCGGAAAAACACCGCTTCCATACTGAATTTGATGCGGAGGAGTAAATATGGCAAAGCATTATTTAAAGCTTAACCATTCAATGCCTGCTTCAAATATTGTTTGCACTGATATACGTAGGCAGCAATAATAATCTCATTACACTAATATAAATGAACATGAAATGAACATGAAATGAAATATTCACCGTCACCATCATATGAATGAGTAAACACATCGCATGGAATCATCCATTTATCGTATCATGTATTACGGCATTGTTTACATACCGTGTGTTTGTGAGCGTTTGCATGAGATAGTTGCACTTGTAACCGCTTGTAAAATGTTGAAATCCGCTTAATCAACATCATATAAGTTGAACGCGATTTTGATGTTCATTACTTTGTTTTCGGTTGTTTGATGCACTCAAAATATTTTACAAGATATACAAGAGAAACGGTTGCAAAATGAATGAATGATACACAAAAACTACAAATGCCTTGGCTCATAAACATAATTTGTAAGTTTATACGTCTATCATTGTTGAGAAGAGAAAGAGAGAGATCATATACCACATGTACTATCTGCTGTACATCCATTAACACAAACAGTGTGAAAATGCAGACTTGAATGAATTTATGGTCGTTCCAATTTGCATGGAATACACACACACACACACTTTACGGGAAAAGTGACAACCAAATTTACAATTCGCTGAACAAATATACACATATACTACTGATAGAGATGCATACTTCAATTACAAGCAACGATAACGATGAATTCAGAAGGATGACATTGCTTTTACTTCCTGCTCAACGTTTGTATATATACATCATCACATCATTGAAGATGCATCAACAATTTAACATAACGAAACATATATTGATGTTTTCATAATAATGATGAATGTATTTCCATAATTGACAACGTGATTTTTACTTTTGAATGGCTTGGAAAATGGAGCGCCGATGAATATGACGACGTCCAGATGAAGTAACCTGTTTTTTCATCGTTACCATAAGCTCGTTTGCAAATCGGATCGAAAGTTTATACTTATTGACAATACTAGTTTATATGTTGATATGTCTCGTGTCAAAGTCGTCACATATTCCTTTGCCGATGTGCTCATTAGGATATTTAAATCGAAAGCAATGGGAAGCGATTCACCGATAAATTCTTAATACCCATACAAAATGTGAACAGAGCGAATATTTGAATATTCAAAGGGTGTCACTAATTTCATTTGGCACCGTTCAGATTGCAGCATCTCCAACTGAGACGATAAAGTGAAATGCTTTTGTACAAAAGTAAACATTCAGCCCGGAAGTATACTAGATATGAAGAGAAACCGGTTATAATTCATTTCCAAACGAGATTCTCTCCCAAAATCATGTTTAATAAACGCACATTGCAACAAGCCATTCTCGTGCAAAATGTATATGCCTGTGCAATGACACATGGAACGATGTGTCAGAATTTTAAGAGAATCCATTAATATTAAATGGCACTTGGGCAAAATGTGCGAATCAAATAGTAAGATTCATGTAGAGAATCTTCAAGCAATGGAATACGGTGTTTGGTGTACTTGTCTGACTATTTTGCTGTCTTTTCCCTTTTTGCACTCTATCTCTCTCTCCCACTTATGCCGGAACTTGAGAGTATGCCGGTCGGAATTGCAGCAGGCAATTTATGTCATGCATCCAAAGAATTTCATATGCTCAGTTGAATAATGTTCGCTAGCAGATTTAACCGCATGTATATGCTATTAACGGCTGTCTTAGCACAACTTCTTGAAATAAACACAGCACACGGCATATCCATTGAGCGAAACAGAAACTTTAGTCTCATATCGTATTCAAAATGCATGCTTAAGCATCTGCCTGGAATCACATATCGCTTCATTTCACAACGAGATAAAAGCTACACTACAAACACAACTCGTGTGATTGGCAAAAAAACGCGCGCACACAACGACGTGCCATCAACGGACGTGAAAATACACATTTTCTTTATCACTCTCTGTCTTTCTGTTCCATACAGTTTTCTTTTATAGAGATTTTTCCCATTTCGTGTGATTTCTCGTTTTTAAAGTCAAAAAACGAATTCACGAAATTCCTGCCATGATTCAAACTATGTAATTCATCAAAATCAACGAAAACCGCAAAATCGTGATAAAATTCAATTTATGCGTTGCCATAGCAAGAATGAAACGATGTGATTCCATAATTTTAATTAACAAAAGAGTTTATACTTGCTGCAAGCTTTTGCCAACCGAATTTCTTTTTTTGAATTTTTTAGTACACTTCAGCGATACACAGAAACCCAGAGATACATACACACAGATACAGAGGGTATTTCCACCGAAATATTCAACAGCAAAAGAGAAAACAAAGTTTTTCATTTATTTTGAATTACAGAATGTTTAAAAACAGATTTTCGCTCACTTCTTGCTCGTGCTTTTTGTGCTGCCATAAATTCATTTAGTCTGTAGTTGGTGGAAAAATAGACAAATGAAAACGGATTGATGGCAGAATCAAAATTGACATTCTTTATGCCGTCACGTTTTCTTTGCCTTGAGTGTTAGGGGAGAGGGTGGGGAAAAGTCGCACACACATGAACCCATTGCTTCTTGTCGTCAATCATTGCAGCCAAAGCACGTCGAAAAGTGTCATAGATGAAATGATTTCAATGTGAGTAGTTTAACGTTAAACGATAGATGTAGATAGATGTGTGAGCGACAAAAACCGCGAAATGAAAAGCAAAACTTGACAAAGTAAAGAATGTGAACGAATGGAGAAAAAAATCGAGGACACAAATCGAAAGATATATAAACGCAATGACAAAGAAACGCATGTGGTGTGGTATGGTGTGGTATGGTGTGGCGTGAATTTATTTTGCATTATGTATGTGGAAAATTCGCTGTCAACGATGTTTGTTTATGAACATCAAAATGTGTAACAGCATGAAAATGTCTCCGATTATATCAATGAGAATCCATCAAGAATGTCATCATTCAGCGTTTTCCTTCTTCCACACATACTTGCAGTTCTTTTTCACGCAAAGCTTGAGTTACACGTAATCTTCATTCGGTGTATAATTGAATGATTTATGATGTATTTGTGTGTGTATTTGAGTATGTGACAGATATTTTTTCTCGTTTAAAAATTCACAATCATCTTGCCGTCGTTGGTAAAACTTTTTCAAAATGCAGCATTCTTGCGCGTTGTTATTGTTATGCATGTGACTTTTTTTTATCCCATAATGAGGGAGTTTATGTTTAATGCCATTTCAATAAAACCGACGCGTTCTTGAAATTGAATGTTCGCATCTCACTCAATTTTTGATATTTAAATCAAGTTGACTTGCAAGTATTTTTTCCATTCCACATTCATCCGCATTCAATTGAGTTACATAGTCGACTTTTAATGATTACGATTGTGATATACGAGTTTATTTTAAATTTACATGGCAGAATATGCATTTATGCTGACTATGTACGACTTAATGCAAAGAAAATTTCACAAAAAAATGCAGGGTTGACAATTTTGAGTGATATGACTACCGTAAATGTTGGTGTTTTCCAGAGATATTATTTACAGAAGGCCTTTTGTAGTACCGTTATTTTTATTGTACGACCTCATCCCTGCTTTTCCATCTTAAAACCGATGCAATGAACTTCCTGGTATAATGTCGACAATTTTTATAGCATTTTATCGCATAAGTTTTTATAGAAGTGTTTTGTAGAACGACAAGACAAAATTAAAAATATTCTAGCATGAAGTTTATCGTTGAATGCGTGAAACGCTGACCTTCTCATGAAAATGGAATCGAATTTTCTTCGAACGAAAAGAAATGCTCTTGACAAAATGCGATTAAAAGACTGAAAGAGTTCTTGAGTTTCATCCATCTCCATGCGATCATGAGTTGCATGTTGAATTGATAGTTGTTTGACGTAAAAACCATCAAATATTTTATCTTTATCACAACAATTTAGACATGTGCTTTAAGTGTTCAACAGCTATAACCCATTCGAAAATTCCATTGCGTACACTTAAGATGTCCGTATAAATCTGTGTCTTTGTGAATGAGCTGAAGCGTAAAGTGTATCTACTCGAGCACAGTAAAGTTTTCTCAGCGTTTGTAGTAAATATGTTACTTTATAGCGAGTAACACGACAACAAGACGCACAGTGTTCGTGTGTCTGGTTGGAATGCCTTTAAAACACATATATTAGAGAAATTGTGCTATAATCGCGATGAAAACTTTTTCCGACAAACATTTCCGCTATGGAATATGTCGAACAAACAATGCACGGAGTAGCCCCAACCAATATTTGATGGGCGTGTGTGTGTGTGGCCATCAAGACTATTGTCTTACAAGTTTGCTAGCGCATCTTTGGCTCAATTTGTAAGATAAACTACTACAAATACACGAAAACTTGTCACACATCGCTTGAATAAATGATCTTTGAAATGGTGTTTGAAATGGATATTCTGACACTTCTCAGCGACCAAATACGAGTATGTGCGAAGGAATCTTAGCACTTTAACGACCTTAGTATCAAGACAACAGATCTAAATGAAACTTTTTCTGTTTTCTTTATCGATTTCATTTGTGAAATTGATCTTTTGTGGTTTATTCGGAAGAACGTGTATGTGATCTCATCCAATGTCATCAAGTCAAACGGATATTAAAAAAAACAACTAGAGAAGGTTAACATCGTATTTCACTTTTGTCATCACATATTTGTGAACTGATGCGAATTCATTTTTCTCGCGCTCATGTGACCGCTAATTTCCTGCATTGATGCGACAGCAAAGTCTACATGCATTAATCTCTCTGACTTTGTGGATGTTGTTTTTATTTAACTTTGCGCTTCATGTCCTCGCAGAAAAGGAAACTGCTCACCATATATTTTCATCGAAAAACCAACGAAAAAATAGTAGAGAGAGAGAAATTGACGCTCTTTTGAGGACGTTCATCAAGCGGAAATTTTGTGTTATATACACACACACACAAGATTGGTTCATTTTTCAGATATGCGACACCAAATATGCGGCGAGCAAAAAAAGAAAAGAAAATGAAGATAAGCTGACATTTTACCTGCTCTTCACTTTTGGGTGTATTTTGTATCGGAGAACATTATTTAACGTATATGTTTTGCTGTGTAATGTGCAGCTTTTGAAATTTTGTTAAAAAGCGAATGAAAAAACAGAAAGCTTCAGATTGGATCACAAAATTACTGAGTTTTCGTCTTTTTCATTTTCTTATTCACATTTTTCAATGCACTTAAACGACATTAATTTAATAGTGTGTCGATGTTATATTTTATTTCCAATACAACACCGCTTGATATTTCCTTTTGCAATCTCAAGATTGATTTTAGAAAGAAAAGAGGCAACATTTCATACAGTGCTTTTGTATCTTGTCGTAGATTCAGAGCAATTTCATAATAAGTAATAACGCTTTTACTTTGAGATCTGTAACCCTTTGTTCCCACTTATATACAAAAGCATTCGTGGACATTTTCATAAAATCAAATGAACTTTGACATAATTTATTGTTGAATGTAAGCGGAATTCACAGAAGTGTAATGGAAAATGAAGAGGTTAATTTCGGAATAATTTGCTTCAATTTGACTAATATAATTTGTGACTGCGAAGCCAAGAGCCAATCTCCTGTTGGAAGGATCCCTTTGAAAAGAGCAATAAGACCCAAAACATTTTGCCAAACGGCAAAATGATAACTCGAGGAAAATGTACATAATATAGTTCCATAACTGACGTGAAAACTGGTGAAAACAGACATGCTTGTATTCGGCACCTCGACTGTCAATTTTGTCCAGTCATTTTAGTGAAGTAAATATTCAAAATAGTTTCCATTTTGAATTTAAAAGAGGAAAAATTTGAAGGGAAAAAATCTAGTTCAATTTTATGCGGTGCTTTGCTCTGGTGTTTGAAATGGTCTGCATTCAAAGAATCGGCCACATTAGAATATTCAATGATTTACGGTATTTCCATCAAGATTTTGCCAATGAAATTTATTACCGCGTATGGCATGTTGAACGGTATTTCAGGTCAAATTGAATGATAACATACGTAACGTATATCAATGGCAAAATTTAATATACCTTAGAAATATGCATATTTTTTCGGCGCTATCAACAGCAAATATTCACGAATATTTTCCTAATCTGATTGTTTTCATCGGTTGCTATCGTTATGCCACTCAATTGCTGCAAACATTTGGATTAACTTTTTCACAAAACAAAATCAAAACGTTAAGCACTCATGTTATGTGAATAATAATAAATAATAAGACATTTTATTAAATATTGAAATGGAAATGAATCGGAATAGAAATGGAGAAAAATGTAAGTGAATGTTCGAAGCTCAAAACCGGTGGCATGAAGTACGGTGCCAGGTAGAAACAGTGTATAGCTGTGTAGCATCGACATCAAACCCCCATCTCTATTTTATTGCTTTGAAACATTTCATTTACTATTCAATTGGTTGCTAGTCAATGAAATAAAATGTTCAAATCGCATGCTTCACAAAACTATTCAAAATAACAAACAACAATACCCCATTCGGTGTTTAGTCATGAAAATGTGAATAAAAATATATATTTATTGGTTAACATGCAAAAGCTCAGAGTGAAAGAGTGAAATAAATCTGGTTGTGAATAAAATGAATGTAAATGTTCCACTTTCGCAAATCATAAATAAAAATAACAATAACAACTGAACCACTTGACATTTGTCGACATTTGATTAACATTATAATTTTTTCCAATTTCAGAACCAAATCACTTTACAACATCCATCAGCAATGCATCCACAATCAATGCAAGTATCGGCTGGGCTACCACCCGGTCATTTTTTACCAAGTCCGGCCTTGGCTAGCCCAGTAGGCTCAACTGGAGCGCAGCAGCCAAATCCACCATTGGCTGCAAATGCGCCATGCTCCACTCTATTCGTTGCAAATCTCGGACAATTCGTCTCCGAACATGAACTCAAAGAGATTTTTGCCAGGTAATTACATATGTCAGGATTTCTCATATTGCGAAATTCATTTCATTATTATTTTTTTCAAATTTAATCCCAATTTTGTGAGCAAAAGAAAATATTCATACAAAAACACACACAATTCATAATTAAATCACTTCATTTTGGACGAGTTTGCAAGCAAAATTCTCTGCACCAAACAAATCGAGAATAAAATTTAAAAAAAAAAATCACCTTCCACCCATATATTGAACTCCAACTGACTGCTTAATTATCTCAAAATTATCACATTCAATTTTCACTGAGTTATGTTCGAATGCAAGCACAGAAACACTTCAACAGTTCCACATTGAATTTCACATACATACACAGACACACACACACACGCACATACAAATTGTATAAAACACAGATCTTCAGAGCACATATCCGATTAAGCAAGTTTTAGAAAGTTGTACGAAGGGGATTTTGTAAATAGCCGACACGAAAATGATGTTGGGTTTTCGATTATAACGACAAACATGATTCATTATGTAAAGGCAATATTCCTATTGGATAATATATACGTAAAATTCTCGGAAATTCGAAAATCAAAAAGCTGGAAAATCAGTTTATTGGAAATACATATAAAGAGATAGATAGGAAAATGTAATTCAATTTACTTTTTGAGTAGCCGAAATCAATGATGAAATCTCATCGTTTTGTTCAAAGACGGGCCCGGGACTTATTGCATACACCCATAAATAAATAATCCCAATTTCAACGATAATAACCTCTCGCGTTCATCATAAATCCACTCTTTTTCTTTCCTTCTTCTCCCCCCCTCTCTCGCTCACACACTAGTCCGTTATCAATGTTATTTCGTCGAAGATATAAAATGTTTAACAGCCGCATTATCTGATCGTAAAAATTGAAAAGCCCCTCAACCGAAATGAGAATTCAATAAGTAATGACCGATGCGCAATGTGAGATTTACTACAATGATAAAAATCAAAATATTTTCAGACTTGGCAATACTTCTGTTATATATTGAGAAACCTATAATTAAATTCGTAAGCTTCTTTTCATTTGGCTCTTTTCATTCATCATTGCGTGACTTATTCAACTTTGTACTCTCACACATATTCATAATACAACCGAACGAAAGAAAACCTCTCATCATCAAATGTTTTGTTGTGATTTTACTTTTGCAAAGTTGAGAATTCGCATTGGAAAATTGCACAGACATGGTGAAAAAGCCAAAATTCTCATTTTGTTTCGTCTGGAACGGATGAGAAAATTAAAAAGTGACTTTCTCTCTCTAGCACTACTCTAAGTACTTTGCAGGTCATTGGCATGGAGATTCCGAGTGAAATTTCCTCGTGCGTTTTTTCTTCTTCTCTAGTTTTTTTTTTGTCGTTACTGGCATCTTTGCCTGCATATAAATATAATGCGATCAAAGTGGATACACACAGATTGAAAGTTTTTCTGATTCCCATGAGTAACAACGTTAAAGATTATGATGATGCACTGCAATGCGGTCGCTTTATCCTGATGCATCACCGTTCAAGCCAATCCAATTGCACAAGCACGTCGAACATCGAAAACGGACGCTTTTTTTCTTCTTCTCTTCATTCGTAATAGTGCCGAATGATCCATATCTTCTTGAGACTGTGTACAAAACTGGTTACGTATAGTATTTTGTGCTATGACACAAAAGTGGTGGCAAAGACGCATCAATAAAATCCAAGTTTATTTAATAGCAACATTTCAATTCGTTTTGTATATTATTTCTCCAGCGACCATGGAAAACTACATTAAATTTTTCACTCGTCCATTATGTTGGCTGCCAACTGCGGCTTTTCTATTTCGAAATGATAAATGGAAACACACACACACACTTTATCCAAACAAAATGAACGTACACACAGCACCATCGCACAAAAACTTGATACGTTCCTTTTTTTGTCACTTAATTCGCGTAATCCACTGGTATATCATTCGTATTTTGTCATATTCGGTCGGACCCGATCTTTTTTGTCCTTGTTTTCTTCGGATTCATCACTTGCTCTCGCTTCGTAGTGGTAGCTTGAGTCAGCTTTTGGTATAATAAGTTTTGCATCGGTGAAAAGCTACTGCGACACTATCATGGTCGTTGTTGTTGTGCCATCGAATTTTCTTTTTCCAAACTGATTTCAAAGCAAAAGATGTCTGGCCGTCTGCTCGTCTACATTTATATGTTTCCGGTGTGTTTTCATTCTTCATTTCCATAGAATTTTCGGGACAAGCGCACAAACACATGAAATCACAGCCCATAAATAAAACCTAATAAACATGGTATTCATGGAAACTAAGTGAAAAACTAGATGTTTTAGCAGCACTTTGGTACAACTTTAATGTTGCATTTCCCATTATTGTAAATGATAAATGGTTTTAGACGATGGCAAAAGTTTCGCCCAGCAATGAATAACAAAAAAAAAACAAGCAATTTCGGCCCCAAAAAATATTGCCTTGCAGATCCGACACCATGCGACTATTATTATTGTTATTCATACAATATATGTACTTCAGACGCGATCTCAATTTGATAAATTGATGCGGCACTATCAAAAATGAATTTACGACAAGAAAAGGCAAGACTGAAATAGAGAGAGAGATGGATGAAAAGAAATAAAGAAAAAGAGAGAAAGCGACATAGAGTTTTTGATTGAATCACACATTTTCTACCTAGGCTAAGCCATTTTCTGTTGTTCAACACTATTTGTACATTGTGTATAGCTGTGAAAAGAATAAAAATCAAAACTAAAGCACATTTGCACATGCACAAAATGCATTGCACCCAACTTCCTCAATAAATGTTTTCCAAATATGCTCTGACATATTCACAATGCACGAACATCCTTAAGCTCATCCTTGCAATACCACAATAAAACCCTACACAATTCGCAAAATAATCGGCAGTTGATTGGTTCATAGTTGCAACATCATGCACAGGCACACGCACATCTATTAATAAATATATAACCATTTATAGGTAATTCACATTCTAAATATTATATCACCATCACATTATGTCATTTGCTACTGAAATTGGTTTTAATTTTTGATAATAACAATTCCATAAACACAATTTATTTAAAAAAAAAAAATATTTATTTATTCTATTGTTAAACTGATTTGTTTTTTTAATTCTTTTTCTTTTTGCATTTCCGTATCGTTTCATCAATCAAATTGATTTGTAACTCTGAAATTAAACGACACACTTACTTACACACTCACACTGAATTTTGGTGATGCGCTCTTCCTTTGTGACTGCAAAACCGCAACATTCATGCTCATAATTTATTTCATTCTCACCGTATTATCAAAACCAAAACATTCTCAATGGATATATACGCATCTTATATACTATATTTGATATATCTTTAAAACGTTATTGCACCCTGTGAATGAATATGTTTGTACGTGAAAAAAAAAACATATTACGAATAACCAAACCAAACAAAAAAAAAATACACAAAAATCTATAAACACACACACAAATCACACCACGCAGTTTGCCTGGCTTTAGTCGTCTACGAATGCACACAAAAGGTACACAACATGGTAGCGTTCCAGTAGCATTTATTGAATTCAAAGATGCTGCATGTGCTGGTTCGGCAATGTCTGCACTTCAAGGTACATTTCTTCTATCATCCGAACGTGGTGCAATTCGTATTGAGTATGCTAAATCGAAAATGGTTGCCGACGCAGCGGCCGCCATTGCACAATTGGACGGAAGTATGTGTTTTATTCAATTCCTCTCACAACACAATTTTCATTTTCCTCAAATCTATTTTGCTTTTCATTTCTTCAATCTTTCGTTTCATCTGTTTCACATATTTTGTTTTTCATTTTATTTCACTTCTGTATTCAAAAGTATGTTTATTGCGAACGGAATGGTCCTAACCAATTCTCTTTTGCATTTTCAGTTAGAATAGAGTTTTGTGAGTGCCCACAGTGATTCATAGGCACTTGTACAATTTTAAATTTATACATCTAATTTCCAGTGCATGTGATCAACATTTTTTTCATCTGTATTTTTGGTTTTCATTTCATTTCATTTTTTGTGTTCACTCTTTTAAACCAATCAACTTCAATTTGATATATGCATGCCGATTGAATAATTTTTTGCACATTCCATTTTATATAAGTGAAATCATTAATTTTTAAATGGTAAATTATCGTGAATGAACAACAACAACATGCACATCGAAAACTCATGCACCATTCTACAAACGAATGCAGTCATGATTAGATTTATTTTTTGCACGAAATCGTTCAAATTTTTTTTTATACATTTAACTCAAACGCACATAACTTAGGATCGATTTATTCCCATAATTTTGAAATTAAACCGAAAAACAACACTTGCATTTCATGTGATCAATTTATAAATTTTCAATATTTCATTTTCTTTTTTCTTTTCGTTTGTTTTTCGCATTTTTTTCGCGATGAAAAAACAGAGGAGCGGGCATGGAACCAAGGCCGGATTTATTAAAAAAAGCAGCTGATCATCGTGATTTGAGCACATATTTGATGGCAACAACTTGACCCAATTTCGGAACATACTATACAATCGCAACGCCGCCACAAACTCAACCATATGTTCGAGCTTAAAACATCTACGTGGCGGTGAACAAACAACGCTTTATTAAAAGAAAAAATTATATACTTGAAATAGAACTGGTTATCTTTTTTGTGACACCTACAAATTAGTACAATTTTCATTTTCACGTATTATAAAAAAAATGTTTGAAAATACCAAAAAAAAGAAGTTCAAAAAAAAACAAAAACCAAGGAACAAGGGTTAAAACTCAAGCAAACAACAACAGAAGGTGAAAAGATCATTTGCGATTCACGAATTTTGGGTCGGACAACACACCAG